GTGGCCGAGTTTGAGGCTACTTTTATTAGTCTGTCCAGGTTTGCACCTGAACTGGTGGCGTCCGAGGAACGCCGTTGCTTTGAGTTTGAGCGGAAGTTGAGGCGAGGCCTTAAGTTGAGGGTTGGTGGATCTTTCATCCGAGAGTATAGACGTTTGGTGGATGCTGCAGCTCATATGGAGCTCATGATGCAAGAGGAGGATGAGGGGCAGAAAGGCTCCAAGAGGGGCCAAGATGGTCAGGGTGATGGCAGGAGACAGAGGGGTTCTAACCCTCAGCAGTCTCAGGGTGGAGTTGCTAGATCGACCTTTCCGGTGCCGAGTACAGGCTCAGGGAGAGGTAATCAGGGGGGTTTGACTTGCTACACTTGTGGCCAGCTGGGTCACAAGTCTTCGGTTTGCCCGCAGAAGGGCGGAGGTTAGAGAGCTGCTTCTTCTTCAGCTAGACCCCAGAGTCAGAGTTTGGGCAGGGGGCAGCCCTTATCTTGCTATCAGTGTGGGCAGCCTGGGCACCTGAAGAGGTTTTGCCCACAGTTGAGTGCCACTTCAGGAGCGTCTGGTTCTAGACAGACGTAGGGATTTCAGCCAGCTCAGTCTGTACAGGCCTCGAGGGCCAATCCGGGGGCTTCGTCGTCCCAGTCAGTGCAACAGTCGTATGCTCCGAGGGGTGAGCAAGTAGATCAGGGGCCTACGGGGCGCGTGTATGTTGTTACCATGCAGGATCTAGTACCGGCTCCATCAGTAGTGAGAGGTACTTTTCTGTTTTGCAACTCGGTTGCTAGTGTGTTGATTGACACGGGTGCATCTCACTCTTTTGTATCTGCTGCATTTGCATCTGTTTTGGAATTGGAGTTAGCACAGTTAGCACCTCCTATATGTGTGGCATCACCTATTGGTGGTGAGTTGATCTTGAAACAAGGTGTTAGCGGTTGTGATATAGAGGTCGCCGACCATAGGCTTCCTTTTCCATTTGTGGTCATGCCCATGAAGGGTTTTGATGTTATTTTGGGTATGGACTGGCTATCGTCATACCGGGCAGTTATCGATTGCTACCGCCAGAGGGTCACGTTATGTACCTTGAGCGGGGAGTAGTTCCATTTCTTGGGAGACCAGGTTGGTAGTGTTTTGCCACCGGGGTTTGATTCGCGAGGGCGGAGTGAGCTTAGTGGTCTACTTGCTAGCTTTGAGAGTGGTGAGTGTGATGAGACCCAGCTTGTGTTGCCGAGGGTGGTTTGTGAGTATTCGGATGTCTTTCCCGAGGACCTTGTTAGTTTGCCACCTCACCGAGAGATAGAGTTCTCTATTGATCTAGTGCCCGGCACGGTGTCGATTTCTATGGCACCCTATCGTTTTGCTCCAGCAGAGTTGGTTGAGTTGAAAGTTCAGCTCCAGGAATTGCTAAATAAGGGTTTTGTTCGCCCTAGTGTTTCACCATGGGGAGCATCAGCCCTCTTTGCTAAAAAGAAAGATGGTGCCTTGAGATTGTGTATAGACTACCGGAAGTTGAATCGGGCTACGGTCAAGAATAAGTACCCTATGCCCCGTATAGATGATCTGTTTGACCAGTTGAAGGGTTCCCGTTGTTTCTCTAAGATAGACTTAAGATCGGGTTACCACCAGTGGAGGGTCAGGGAGGAGGATATTCCTAAGACGGCATTCCGTACGCGGTATGGCCAATATGAGTTTTTGGTGATGCCATTCGGGCTTACCAATGCACCGGCAGTCTTTATGGACTTGATGAACCGGATCTTCCGGGAATTCTTAGACCGTTTTGTAGTCGTCTTCGTGGACGACATCCTGATTTACTCACCTTCAGAGGAGGAGCACGAGGAACACTTGAGAGTGGTGCTTGAGTTTCTTAGAGTCCATAGGCTGTATGCCAAGTTTGGGAAGTGTGAGTTCTGGCTAGGAGAGGTGAAATTCTTAGGCCACGTGGTATCCGGGGAAGGGGTGTCCGTTGATGCATCCAAGGTTGAGGCAGTGCAAGATTGGGCACAGCCTAAGAGTGTGTTTGAGATCCGCAGTTTTCTGGGATTAGCTGGGTATTACCGTCGGTTTGTGAAGGATTTCTCCAGGCTAGCCTCGCCGTTGACTAGATTGACGTGGAAAGGGGTCAAGTTCGTATGGGGTGAGACTTGTGAAAAGTCGTTCCAAGAGTTGAAGGTTAGATTGACCACCGCTCCGGTTTTGATTATTTCGGAGAGAGGGTTGGGTTATGCGGTCTATTGTGATGCCTCACGAGAGGGTTTGGGTTGTGTGTTGATGCAAGAGGGGAAAGTGGTAGCTTATGGCTCACGTCAGTTGAAAATTCACGAGAAGAATTACCCTACACACGACCTAGAGTTAGCGGCAGTGATCTTTGCCTTGAAGATTTGGAGGCACTACCTTTATGGTGAGAGGTTCGAGGTGTTCTCAGACCACAAGAGTTTAAGGTATCTGTTTACACAGAGAGATTTGAATTTGAGACAGAGGAGATGGATGGAGTTCATTGAGGACTATGATTTTGAGTTGCACTATCACCCGGGAAAGGCCAATGTTGTGGCCGATGCCCTCAGTAGGAAATCCTTTAGTGATATAGCCTGTATTGCCATCCGGGAATGGGAGATGTTGGGTGCACTTGGCGAGTTCGATTTGCATTTAGGCGAACCTGTTGAGGCTGCGGCCTTGTTTTCTGTTGTTGCGCAGCCTACACTTGTGACTAGAGTGTTAAAGACACAGAGAGGCGACCTTGAGGTAGAGTCCTTCAGAGAGAAGATGTAACAACCCTCATCTTATTCTTGTCATACTTGCATACACTCTTGCATGATCTTGCTTTATATGCTAAATTGAAGGTTTTGCCTTGTCTTGTTTTGGCTTAAAGTTGTTTGCATGATTTTGATCTTTGCTTGGAGTGCGTGGCCGAGGTCATCTTGAGCTTAGTTCGCCTTTGACCCTTGTACTTAGAACCATCTTGAGATCTTGTTCAACCCTACCTTCACCTCGGGCATTCTTTGCCGAGATGTTTTGCACTTGAACCCTGTCCGCAGGCAGGTATGGCCTAGGCCGAGATGTGGCGCACCCCGGCCAAGGTGTGGCACAGCTTAGTCAAGTGTCGTCCTCCCTAGCCGATGTTTTGTCATCCTATTGCTAGATCCTTGTTTTGAGCCGATGTCATCTCTTTGCCGATGTGTCTTACCCGAGCTTGCTGTGTACACTTTGTCAGAGACTTGTCTTGTCTATCAATCACCTTTTTGGAGCTGAACCAACCCGTTAATGCCACGTGTCCGAGCTGATTGTTAAGACAGCCGGCAGACCTTGTAGCACATCATTTCCTTGTCTCAAATCTTTGTCTTAGAGAGAGAAGCTCTAGAGAAGTTCTTGAGTGAGAGTAAGTCTTCCAAGCTTAATCTTCGTGGGTTGAACCGTTGGATCTGAGTTTTGAGGTTAGAATCTTGATCTCCTTTGGTTGTTCTTGCTGATCATCTAGCTGCATTGCATGATCGGATTTGTTTGCATGTCATGCATCGTTTTGAAGTGGGTTTTGGAAAAAGTAAATGGTTTTCCATGTGTTCTTGAAAAAGGTCTCATTTTGATCGAAGAGTTTGGAACGAAAACCATGTTTTGTGTTTGTTCTTGCATTGACACAGATTAATTCACAAAAAAAAACATTCTTGTAATTTTTTGAGAATTTACTCAGAATTTTCTGATAAATTACTAAGAATTTGCTGAATAATTTATAGAGAATTTTACGTGTAATTTAATGAGAAATTTCCTGAGTAATTAACAGAGAATTTACGAAGTAATTTACA